CTCCCTATGCCTGAAGAAGGGTGACTGCGCCCAAAAGCTTTCCAAGAACTTTTTTCTACCAATTACTCAGTTGGTCTAATAAAAGACAACACATCTACTCAAAGAACCTTGCCTGTTTATAAGCATAAGGCACTCTGAGAAATAAAATCTTACTAAGATTCGAGAAGCTCAGCCCTTGTAGTCAATGAGCATAGTTTACATTGAGTTTAGATGAATTTACACTCTGCATAAGTGCAGTCTTTTTATCAGTTTCATGGCTACATACTTAAAGTACGCTGTACTACACCTGTTATTCTTCAGCAGTATGATGCCTCACCCAATTGGACATATTTAGTTAAAAACAACAACAACAACAACGACCACCTGCTCTTAGATACATGGGATATCACGTCAGTTCCTTCAGGATTCTAGGAGAGCGATCATCTGGTCCCTGTAACGTGAGCACACTCAACTGAGTTTTGCTTCTACATTGGATGCAGTCATTTCTGTACTCTCAGTTCTGCTAGCCTTTGCCTCAGCATCAACATCATCATTCTTACTGAAAACTGAAATAGTTCACTTACTCTTTTGGGCCATGCCTAGATTATCTCTCACCTGTCTTCTGCCCTCACCTTACTACAGACCCACTTTTTCTTTCCTTGTAACTTTGATTTATATAACTGAAGAACCTTTTACTGCTTGTTTCCTTTGCAACACTGCTCAGCTCAGCTTCTGACAACATTCATTTTTCTCCTACTTTCTAGCCTCTAAAGCTTAACTTTCCTTGCTGATTGATGATCTCTTTCCTGCAATTCCTTGTGGCTTTTCTACATTACCTCAAAAAGGATTTTAAGAGTATTACTCACCAGCTAATCCTGGAGTCCTTCCCTCCCAGTTTTTAACAATACCTAAAACAGCTTTTATAGCAAATGTTGTCCCGACAATCGAATGAAACTTATAACTTTGGTAATTGTACCATTGTTGCTCTGCTATTAAAAAAAATGCATGGCACTATAGGAAAATGGAACAGAAAGGAAAGAGACTTCCAACTCCATTCATTCCTAGCAACTGAGCACAAAATGAGGGCAAAAGTGTGTTATTCTTCCCACTGACACCCAGTGTATGGCTATCTTTCATAACAGCCATTGACTTGCAGGTGCCTGATAAATACTGCAAACCTAGAAAGGTGATTCAATTACTGTTTTGAAAACTGATCCTGTAAACACCTGCACACTTCTAACTTTACTTGTGTGAGCAGCCCTATTAAACCTATAATAACAAACATCCAAATACGTGGTTGGTTTGAAATCTATTTAAGCTGTCATGTATTATTTAGTAATAGATATGATTGAGGGTTATTTTTAAATTGCAGCATATTGTTAGTAGCTCAGGGTAGCAAGGAGTATACTGATTTTTCTTTTGTTTTGTTTTACTAGCTAGCTATTTCTACTGGATGGTTTCAAAAAACATGAAAAAAATCCATATAAAATAATAGATCTCTGGTGCCTTCTGTGCAACAAGTTAGCAGTTTTCAGACCAATTCTCAGAAAATAGCCACCATCTTAACTGGTATCCTTGCTGACATTCTCAGCAGACTTACAACTGAAAGGGCACAAACATGCTTTCTCATTTTGGCTTGCTTTTAGGACAGTGCTGGTGTACACTGACCACTGCCCATGTTTAATCACTTCTGTAGATAAATGGGTCTGTAAATTCCCCCAGAATTAAATAGCCTGAACAGATATTAAGAAACACAAAACCCCCTCTAAAATGGTATAAGAAATAAATGGCTCGTGTTAAGAAACAACGTAAATAGCTTTTGTAAATCTGATTGGCAGGTTCATGACATAGCAATCATCTTTCAGTTGTTAAACTACATGGACTAAGCTTTTATAAACTATGTATGCAGTAGAAATATAGCTAGCCTCAAAGTCAAAGAAAGATGACATCTAATGCTAGAAACCAGAAACATGGATAAAGCTGCCAATATTGGATAATAAAAGGAAAATATGTTAAAGACTAGGGGGAGGGGGGTGGAGATGGGATAAGATTAAGATACAAGAGTTAAGATGACATCTAATGCTAGATTTTTTCTGCTTTTAATATGAGCAATCTAATTTTAGTTTAAAAATAATGAACAAATGTGCATCCAAGGCAACAGTTATTCATCATCTGATAACTTCAAACTGGCATGCAAATTTATGGACATAGCACTCGCTGGCTTACCGGGGCGGGGGGGAATCAAGTCTAGACAGGCCATTCATGTTGATTCTCTTTTCTCGTATCCAGAGGCATTCCCTCAAGTCAGTACACAATCTCCTGGCATGGCACACTCCAGGAGCTTAAAATAGCTCTTCTGTATCAGGTTCTTTAACAATGGAACAATGAAGGTACAAAAAATGAACAAAGAGCTACTGCTTTTTAAAACAGGAGCTTTATAAATCGATGCAAGTACTAGCCAGGTTTCAAACCAATTCCTAAACTGCTTTGCAAACCCCTGTAACTGGGGAGAAGTAGTAGAGCCTAGAACTTGAAAAGTATGTTTCTCTTCCACCTTCTGTTCCATGAGGGGCTGGAGGGGACGGAGGAGTTTAAAAAATATTTAACACCGTGAAGGAGAAATATATGTTATCAACCATCTAGTAAAAGTCAGTTTTCATAAATATCTGGAAGAAAGCTGACTATATCTATATGCAAAGGTTGTGTCTAGAAAACTGCAAAGGCAGAAGCTTGTGCAAGTTAAAATTTATCTTCCCAACTTTGTTGTTTTTCAAGTGTCCTGCATTTATAAGTGAGCATGGTGCAGTCATCCACCTTCATTTTTAATCCCTTTCTTTACCTTTGGGGACTTCCACACTCCTGTTGCTTCTTTTCTGATTGGGATCTACTGTTGCATTACTGTTAGCTTCTTCCAACAATTTCATACAGGCCTCTGCTACATGTTACATATAATCGCAGAACTCACTGGACAATCACACAATAAATTTAGACTCGCCATACGTGCAAAGACAGATGGGCTACAAGTGTAATTATTGTGCAATTAACTAGTGAATCGCACAATAAATTTAGACCAGTCACATGTGCAAAGCCGTTATCACACCATAAAAGTGACTCCCCAGCCATAGAAAGAGCCAACCAGCTACAAAGTTAGTGCTTTGAAACGTTTAACAACATCATGACTAGTTTCTATCCATCTTTAATCTGAACATGTGACAGGGCCCTTAATATGACCACTCATACTATGATCACTTATCCTTTCCAGGCTTTTGCAGTCTGGAATTTGAGAGAAGTTACTTATAAACATTAACCTTGGCATAAGCAACACTTGGTGCACAACAAATTGAGTCATCCCATCTCAAAAAGCGAATGCCTCTTACAGGCCACCCTGAGCAAACTGCAGCCTCACCCTGCCGGCCTTGCAAGGCTATCCACTGGAACCTCTTCCTCTGCTCAAGCCCACAGCCTGACTCAAACACTGCCAGTGGCTCATGGAGGAGGAGGAGGAGGAGAAGGAGGAAGCAGCATCCTAGAAACCCTGTGACCTAGAACTATGATGGCTCCTAAAGTTGAAGGGGG